TAATCACATCAGAATTAGCACAAAAACCAACAAAAAAAACCTGATGGGGCGAAGTTATCTGGATCATAACTCGGCCGAGTTTTTCAAGCTCACTGGAAAATTCAGGGACAGGGACGACAGACGTCAGTCTTTACGAAAGTACTTAGACGCAAGTGAACAACTCTACTTACTTAAATTTCGAACAGAAGACGATCTGACTGCATTATTTCTTGTTTATATTGGAGCTCCGAGACTAAGGAAACTGAAGTATACGTGGCCATTTTTAGTGGGAGAAGAATCACGAACACGGAAAGTGAAAATGTCTTAAGCTCTCAGAAAACAAAATGACAGTTCTCCGCAGAATTCCATTTAACTGCGCGTAAGCAATGGGCTGTCTAAACAATGCGATCGGCCACAGCCGAAAAGATGCTAGTATATTTCAGACACAATATCAATACGGAAGTAAAGGAACGGTATTAATAAAGAACGTACACAATGGACACGAGAAACACACATTTTATGACACCCATGAGGCGAAAAAGTAAAATTTAAGCAACATTACTCCCCATAACACTAACTTACCTTTCTACTTCAAAAGCACGTGGATTTTGGTTATAAAGACATCGATATGACATAGGTTTATAAGCATGAAGCAAGGAAGGAGCAGTGTTGACCCAAAAGGTAATTTCTAGTCTATAACTTTCTTTCGGACGCCTATCCCATTTCTACCTAATAATGCTGGACGCAAGAAATCATTTAAAAAAAGTCCCAAGGGTGTGCTAAATGCCTGCTTAGCGTTCGGGATGGACCGCACTCAAGTCTCTACCTCGAGATGACTACGCTGACAGACTGTCGTGAATATGGCCGTCTTCTGGGATGTTGCACCGACGTTTCAGAGGCCCTTGGTGCCTCCATTACCTCTACGATGATCATGGAACCAGTAAGCACCCACGAACCCAGACCACACGACGCAACATCCCAGAAGACATGTTCATACTCGCCGTCGTGAGGACCTGAAATCTTACTGGGATGCTCCGTCTTTTCAGTAGTTCCTGCAGGGAATTTTAAGGTTTCACCAAACGTAATACAAAATAAATCAGTCTTTGTGAATTGCAGGTACTGTTATCACAACGAGTCCATGCCAGAGGCATGATGTTAAATCGTTTTACAGTTTCTTTGTAACAATACAAACAGGTAATTTAAGCGAGTATAAAGAACGAGAAAACATGTAGAAGCCGTTGCTTTGTGGTGATCAAAGTACATTGAATATCGTCGAAAATCTATTACGAACTTTGTCCTATACTTGTAAAACAAAGCTTAAAGTATGACAGCAAGTTTTATCAACGACGACACTGCGTTTACCTTAAAAGTGAAAAGTTAATTTGCGTCTCTATGGACTTCTTCTCCGTAATACGAGGTGCGATCGAAAGGTTTCCAGACTGCACGTATAAAAACCCGTACACTTATCTCAGGTATTAAATTCATCCATCACCCTCGAAGTAGTTCCCCTGGGAGTGAACACAACGATCCCAGATGGTGCTTGACAGGCTGACAAAGAAAGATTTCCAGGGATGCTTCCAGGCTTGGCAGCGGCGCTGGGATCGTTGTGTTCACTCCCAGGGGAACTACTTCGAGGGTGATGGATGAATTTAATACCTGAGATAAGTGTACGGGTTTTTATACGAGTAGTCTGGAAACTTTCCGATCGCACCTCGTATGTTGAGGGCTGATCAACATTCTAACCCAACGTTGTGGTCTAGTAGTTTCCACTCTTGCATCACATCCGGAAGGTCCCATCATCGACAGAGGTTCGGTCATTTTTAAAACGTGAATGCCACACAAAAGTTTGCGGACTCCCCAAATGTTTGCTTTAGCATTTCATAGGTTTCCGTAGCCGTTTTGGCGAGTCTTTGGCAAAATTTGATGCACACGCCATTCCGAAATCGCAGGAGGGTCGGTGTAATGCACTACCAAAACGCCCGTAACTAAGAAACAAATGCTAATTCGATGATGCCGGCTGGCACACTGATTCACTATGAATGTAGGCCGCACCCCCAAAAGGCAGAAGCTCGTAACTACATCCGGTTCGCCCTGTATTGACACAGTCTTGAAACTTTCCGATCGCACCTCGTATATCTTTACCTCCTAGTCTTGTAAAATGAACATGGGACTGCTACGGAGAGGTGCCCGTACGCAGTCAAATAACACTTTTGAAAGTGGCTGGAAATAAGAGAGGCCTTTGTCGCACTACAGTCCCCTTCGAATCGAAAATCCCCGCGCTCTGTGACCTGCAGTCAGCAAAAAGCATGTCAATTGATGCAGAAAACCGTTCCATTCGGAGATACTGGATGAATGTGTGATATTGCAACAGGAAAGTAACCACAGAATCAACATAAAGAACTGGTATCCGTCGTATTAAATCCAGAGAGCATTCAAAGAGAATTACTGAAGTGGGGTCTCATGTAAGGGACCTCGTTGGAATCAGATTTTCTTTTGAACCGATTTATATTTGTGGTTACTGGTACTTCTACATCTACGGAAATTCGGGTTAAAGTATTTTGGAAAGACCTTTTGGTACAAGTTTCGCTTCAGACTTACTGTACACAGAGCAATTAACCCCATTTCAATAAAATGTATTTATTCTTCTATTAACTTTTTCCTATCGTGTCTTCCGAGTACGAAGTTTTTCGTGTTTTCGTAATTAGAAACCAGAAAAAGCCAGATTGATTAATTATGTACTTAACATGGCTATATACAAAAGTAATACGTAAGAATTTTCTGAATTCAATGTGTGCGAATGGATTGCCAGTTACCAAGAGCGCAACTTCAAGTTGAAATATTGAAATATCGAAATAATGGTAATATTTTAGTAATTCGTTTTCAAATATTTCCTACGTAGCTTCAAATTACATTTAGTGTGTAGGTTACACAATGCATGTCATGTAATTGGCGCCCTACATTTTTTTACCTCGTTCCGCTTGATTTCTGCTTTTGTACGATAGCATTCACTTGCAAGTGAACAATGCACACAGAAAATCAAATAGAGCTTACAATTTCTTCTGAAAGCAGAGAAAACCCCTTGAATTCAGTACAAAAAGTTGATTAATTCTTCCTCGGTATGTGTCTACACACATATTACGTTCTATATCCCGTAATGAACTCAAACACACAACGTTCTCCTTGAGGAGGTGATACTTATTCGAAAGGTGACTGAATATGTTAACACACTCCTACGTCGAACTCTGAAGTCTCATGAACTTTTTTAACAGCTCCTGTGATATCACCTGACTCAGGGCAGCGTTCAGAAGCGACCTGCTACTGCCTTAAGCTAGATAAATTCACTGGAGCTGTGTGTTGTCATGCAACGTTAATTGCTTAAGCCCGTCATTAATTCTTGGTTGAGGAAAGTGAACCAAACCATTACGGCAGCAGCATGTGATATGTCCAGTAGTGGACTCTGTTTTGGAGTGATAAGCTTTCAAATTATTATAGTTTATTCACAGGGCCGTCATTATGAGGAACGACGTTATTCTCATCAACCATTGCTCTGTATCCCTGCTTACGGCACGTGCAGAAACCACAGAAGTTTGTACGTCTGTCCTTAAGTCCACAGTTCCGTAACCATCTCCGTTCACTCACAATTTAAATTACTCAAATCGGAGCGAAAATGCATCGCAAATCTTCACACTAATTCACATTTGGCGATAAACACGACCATCACGCAGACACGGAGGTATCGATATTCGCGGAACAGAGCAAAAGACTGTCAGCTCGTCCATGGCCTGCTATACGCCGTCAGACAACACGGAATAAACAGTCTTAACACATCGAAGCAAAACAATGGAAGAAAAAAAAGCGTAATTTCGCAATTTTCATAAAACTGTTCGAGGAACTGTTATTTTTATTGACATCACGGGAAAGTTAGCTGTCGAATGATTGGTCGAACACCCCTGAAGTGTCCTTGGTTCTCTCCAAATTCCAATAACCTCAATACAATTATCCAGAACACTACTTCAAACAACCCTGAACCGTGTTATATCGTAGTCAGGAAATACTTTACGCAAGGCAGGAACCATCAGAGACCATGTTTATTACACGAAAAACACTGAAGTATTTCCTAAAACACGTAAGAGCTACGAGACTTTGAGGCAGAAAGCAACGTCTCGCAGACAAATATTACCTCCATATTCAGCCTATTACTTAATCATCCAAGATATTCTGTGTGCATGTATTAAACACATTCTAATAAATGCATAAACCAACTTTGAATACTTTCGTTTCAATTCATTTTCACTCGAAGTGTTTCATAATCTATCATCAAGCATGTCCTTAATTTAGACATCGCGCCCACCCTGGATAACAGATCGCCCAACAAACGTCTACATAAAATACTTATCATTCTTAAGATCCTCGTATTTCGATTGAAACATTTTTTCATTCGTATTACATAATCAGTTTCTTACATCCCTCACAGGTTCCTTTATGAACCACCTGCCTTAATCTTCAACAACGCAACATTTAAGACTCTAAATTAATTTATGGGTTTATATGATTCTCAGAAAATTAATTAAGAAACGTGATTTCTTGTTACACCGGTAGAAAACGCCTCGCATTTTCTTAAAGGCAGTAACAGGACTTTTAATATTAGTAATATGATTTAAGACATAAAATTAATTAAAATTCAAATCCAGACCACCGAATTCGAAGAATTCATTTCTTTACAATTTACGTATAATTCTTAACATAATATATATTCATAATTCGTCTCAGGAATGTGCGCGTTACAGTCAGCTGCAGACATAACGAGCATGTCAACATCAGCGAGAACATTCAGTTATAAAACAAGGACAATAAAGACTTAATAACATTCTCAGCTCGAGATGGCAGAGCAGACGTACGTCTCGTCTCGTACGCGAAGTTACGACATCGGTATCATTTATCTTTATGTTCGTAACATTGATACAACGATAAAGGACAGACTTAATACATTTTTTAGGTCGACCCTTACTGGGCGGAAACTCAGCGCGATCAATGTTTGCTGTGGCCCCTTACGATTGTGTTCCGAAAAAAACTCACGAGATACACAAAATGAAACGAGACAAATTTCACTGCGAACAGCCCGGAATTTTTCTTGGCAGCGTAACCAGCAGAGATGCTTGATAACGTGGAAGATTCCTCAGTGGCCAAACGTAATAATACATTTTTCAACATTAAATTTTCCCCATTTATAATTTTATTTTCTGTTCCTTCACTCTTACCTTCTTCGTAAACGCGAGCTGAACTTTCTCGAATCGATTCCTGCCTCTACAAGTACCAGACGCGTAGTTTCCTAAATTCTCCGGAGGTCCAGTTCACAACACGTTCTCACGTGCAGTCAAGAGCTGTTTTCAATATCGTTTTCCTGCCACTTTGTGCAACAACTAATGATCAGTATTACAGTAACTTGCTTCTCAATTATGCGCACGCAACAGTACACTAGAAATTTCCAGAGAGAATCATCTTGGGGCTGTCACCTTTAACGATTGCCAACATTCGAACGGAATATTAGGATAAGGGCAGGCAAATTAACATTCAGCAGCACTCACCTAGGTTCGGCACTTGATATGGGAATCTCCCTAGGGGGATGCCAGCCAGCGTGCCGCCCTGCGTCTTGCAGGCGAGAGACGCGTCCATCCAGGTGAAGTTCGTAGCAACATTCTGGCTGTAGCACTGTCCCCTCACACCAGAAACTTCAGGGGGGCACCAATCTGCAACATCAGAGTCGTCCTTTAATTTCATTAGTTCAGACTTTCTTACAGACTTCCCTCAAGTGATATTTTAAGTTTTCACGGCCTGTGAGTCCCGAGATGGCTGTCTTCTGGGTCGTTGCGTCCTGTAGTCTGGCAGAAGTTTTACAGGAACTTACTGCCTCCATCATCAGAGACATGACTCGTCGCCCTGATTATAGAAGCAGCAAGCGACGATGATGGAGGATGCAAGGACTTCTAAAACGTCTGTAAACTTCTACCAGACTACAGGACGCAACGACCCAGAAGACACCAATTTCCAGACTTCATACAGGCTAAAAGCCAGTCAGAAAAGCGAGTACAATGAACACGTGTTTTTTTTTTTTTTAGGGTAAAGCTGCACGCGTCTCTCGTATCAAACCCTATCTAACATTCAATTTCCTGTAGCTTGAAATTAGTTTTCATGAACACGTTTAGAGATTTATCCTGTGTAACGCCACAGAAGCGAGGTTATGCTTCTGTGTAACAACCCGTCTATCAAAACAGAGTCTTCCTGCTGCAATATCGAAGTAATCTGCTGTTCCGTGCGACTGTCATTCTAATGCCACGAACCGTGGTCAAATGTTGTAACATCTAATAGGAAATAATATGATTGGACAAGTAATAATTCGGGACAATTTAATAATCGCATTGACCTGTTGTTCTATATGAGTATATAACTTTCACTGTGAGGGAAGAGTACACATGAACTTTTGTTGAGAGTTTAGAGGAGATCCTCCTCCAAAACTGAGAGCACTTTGAAGCGCGAATGGATTAGAGAGAAAATGAAGTGGTGAGCAGTGCAGAGTCCTACGAAGTAAGTGGTATTATTTAAAGACTACTTATCTCTGCAAAACTGTTCATTTCCCGGATACAAATCAGAGTGGAAAGATGCACTCCAACTTAAAACATAATTTTTTTTCAAAAGCTTTATTCTCTCAACTCCATATAACAATGACTTTCTTCGTTTATAAATTCTATTTTTATTTTGTATTTTCAGTTCGATTTTCAAAAAGATAATATTAGAATAAACTGAATTAATGTTAAGCACAAAAGGGATTCATTTTCGTTAACATCTGCGGGTAATAAGTGCTTCTACGTTCGTGATGACGGTATATGATGAAGAGAACACATTACTAAGCTCATCATAATGCAGTTTTCCGCAGTAAATTTATAAGAGAAGGCGTAATGGATGGGATGATTACTACAGCTGAATATCTGTTACATGACAGTCACATTACTGGGCTAACGCCGAGCGAAAGAGAATCCATAGCAGGCAAGTTTTTGTAAACAACGAGCTTTAAACAAAAACAGGTAAGTAAGAACAAAATACGGGCTTTGTTCGTGCAGTGCTACCAACCCCGCACTCTGAATGACGGGCAGACTGAAAATGTTACAGTGGGGTCATTAACATACTTGAAAACGAACAGCTGTCGTCCACAATAGAGGACAGGGTGCATTTGGAATGTGAGGCAGAAATACTGAACCGAGCTTCATCCAAACAGCATTTTAAATTCAATTTTTACTCAAAGAAAATGCATCACAAAGATCAATTGGTTAACGCTGTTTAGGAAAATTGTCGCTGTTTATTCTGAGAGTCACACGGAACCCATAAATGCCCTCTGTGGATAAAAATCAAAGTTATTTCATTTTGAAGATGATAACCCAGAAGACGGACATCTTCATACTCACCGCTGTGAGAACCTCAAGTCTTACTTATTTAATTTTTGTAGCATGTAATAATTATAAAAGGATTCACGACGACGTGCATTAAAAAATTAGCTGATATAACTTAATTAAAGATCAAGTTTCGTCGAACAGAACATGGGCTACCTTTACGCCATTCCAGTCACCTATTTCCAAGAACTACACGATGTTTACCCACCACCGGGAATATGATCCTAGAATTTAATATCCTGGGCATTCCTATTGTGATGTAAGAATTCTTTCCACTCGAGCACCGCTGCCTTGAAGAACACAAAAGAATAGCCTGTCCACTTCTTCGTACTGGAAGGAATTCCAAATACGTTTATATTACTGAAATCAGTAGGTACTTGTTTCCGAACGGGTGGAGACAGGAACTAATATGGCGAGTTTTAATCTAGTGAGACAAACAAACAAACAACCGCAAGTCCGACCAAAGAAACCAGCAGACACTGGAATTGCGTTGAGCTACAAAGAAGCTTCTGGTAAACTAAATTACTTTAAATATGGCTGTTATCAGCGCTGTTGAACTGAGCGGTCTGGCAGAATAATACTAGCGTTTCAAACGTGCTTACTGCCTCCATCATCAGGGTGACGAACAGCATATGGGGCAGGAGGCACCTCTGAAACGTTGGTAAACTTCCACCAGACTACACAGTGCAACATCTCAGGAGACAGAACCTGAAATCTCATTTAATAATTTTAAGTGCCCAACCTGGAATCCCTTTAAAGCATCTCATGCTTAGCAAGTAGATTACTGCTTACCTGAAGAGTGCGCAGTCAGTAATAATTTATTTAACACTTTATTAGATAATAAATGAATATGTGAGTTTGGAATCGATTCATACGATTTAACTGTTTGAAGATGGCTGTCTTCTGGGTTGTACAAGTTTAGCAACGCTTCACAGGTCCCTGCTTCCACCACTATCAGGGTGATTATGGTGGCAGCAACCGAAAAGAGAGCCATCTCTGCGTTCACCTCAAATCCGACTTAACCGATTGTCTCGATTCTCGCGATACCTAAACGTCGATATTTCATGACATGTAACTTACATTCGACGGGATAGAAACAAAGTTTCAACTCGAAATTGTTGAAGAACTGAGCGCATGCTAGGCATATACATTTTTAAAATATACCAGCTCCAGCGACAGAATTATAAATTTCCACTATCTCTGCACAGTGTGTTTTAGAGGATGTCTGAAAGCAGACACGGCTTGACCACCTGAGCGAGCTTCTCCTGAGAAATTACTCGGAAGATAAATGGCTCGGAAAATGTTAAAGGGGAACTTCCTAAGCCGCAAAGTTCAAACTTTTCAGGTAACTGAGTTTCTTTGATGTAGTTTATTTCTATTATAATTCTGAATCGTGAAATGTTAGATGATTATCATTTGTAGTATAAACTCAAAAAACTTTTCCTGTCAACTACAAAGCAGTTGTCAATGAACCTGAGAATTGTATTACCATTAATATTATTATTACAGACAACAAATTTCCTTTAAAGGGCACATCTAAACTGTGAACATTCGCTCTTATAGAACTTCATTCCGTAACAATTATTTGATGACTATTACGGACTGATTGCGCTACGAATGATAATGATTTACAATTTCCCGAGCCAGAGTCTTCTAGGTTGTAGCGCCGCGGGAACCTCAAATCCTACTCAATTCTTTGATGAAAATACTTTAGAGACGTTCCCGATCACATGAATGCGGCCAAAACTCTGGATGCATTTCTCGTATATCCCTTTATTTTATATTTTAAATTATTATATGGCATGAAGCGAACGGTGCCCAAAGGTCATGTGGTGTTATAATCTCGCAATTTGCATATTAGCGAGTAACGGAAATACACCGATGACGGATGCAGTAAGCACATCAGAAGCGTAGGCCAATTTCTACGAGACTAATCGGCGCAACATCCCATAAGACAGCTCATCTTCGTGCTGAAGTTGTCTGCTAGCAACCTCAGATGCGGCGAGTGAGCGGGTTTGGCCGGGCTTTGTTTTATTTTCCTCCCCAAAACATCACATGCATTCAACTTCTCTTTCAGTTCAACGCGTTTCCGTGCGCCTCAGCACACCCTCGATACTTCAACTCGTTTATTTAGTTAGGCCTCGCGAAAGCACGTGAAAGCACACGGATGACGTAACAAAAGTTAATTCTTCCGAACAGCACGAACACACAAACCAACTACAAATGTGTCCTCTTGTTCTCGTAATTGG